GTTCTCTTTTAATTAAATGCCATTAATCAGAGATCACAAGATGCCTCAGGCATTTCCATGGTTGTCTTTTACAATACCCATGAGGGTATTGTCTTATGTTGCCACACCACATGGTACAACTAGAAGATATGGTCAGAATTAATAATAATAATCTTTATTGATAAACATATTACATTTAGAAATATTTACAATGGTCAACAGCCCCTAAAGTAGGATATTATACCTGTATCTTAGGGGCTAGTTTTCCTTCCCTGTTCTTAGTTCTTATTAAAATAAAATAATTTGTTTATCGATATTTAGTTAAATATGTTTATATTTACGTTTATATATGCAAACAAATATTTGGATACATATAGCTTAAAGATTTACTAAAATGATTTTATCGATGTAGTTAAAATAGCATTTAAATTATCTCGAGAACTCTATACTGTAACACCATATCTGGGAAACTGCATTAAACAAATTTATTTCAGGATATCAAGCATGGTAGAAAAATTATGTATGTTTTATGGTGAAGAGATATGTAATCATAATGGTGTAAAATATTTCACATTTCCGGAAGTAGAGAAATTATCAGACCCACAGGTATATCTCTATTTTTATGAATTGTTTTTATATTTATTATTCGTCATTTTATAGATTATAGGTTTTTAAAAAGGCCAAGTCTTATGTAAAGACGCAAAATTAAAGTGAATTCAATTGTACCACAATAATTGATACTTGGGCAAAGTCTGACTATTATTCAACTTCTAATAATCAATTTTCTCATTTCTTATATAGCTATACTAACAATAGAGCTAACAAATTATTATCTGGTTTGTCATCATTAGTTTGGGTCATCACAAAAGAGCAGATTATCAAAATAGTGGAACAGTAAACAAAAATCATGTTATTGATTATTTTATTAAAATATTTTTATACATTTTACCTAACTTAATGATCATATTCATTCATAATTACCAACATAATTGAAATGTTTCATAAGAAACCATCATTATCATCATTACAGTCTTGAATGAACATAGGCCTCCTCCAAGAAATGTTACAAAATACGGTACTGAGCCACCTGTATCCATCCACTTCCTGCATATCTTACCAGATCTTCACTTCATATAGTGGGGTGCCGCCCTACACTTCGCTTATCAGTATGAGACTGCCCCTCGAGTGCCACCCTCTTTACTAGGCGTAAGTTCGGCCTCACATGGAACAATGTTCTAATCTCTGGGCCGGAACACTCCATTGTCAGCTGCTTCCACTTGGTCGCATCCAGAGCAGAGCGGTGCGAATCGTCGACGTCTGAATTCTTTCGGATCGGCTTGACTTACTGGCGCTACAAAGAGATGTTGCATATTCTATCTTATCTACAGTATCGTAACACCGGGTGTGCTCAGAGGAATTGTTCGGACTAATTCCAGCCGCTAAATTTAACTCACAGAAATTCGTTGTGGAATCGACTACCTACGGCGATTTTTCCGGACCGATACGACTTAGGGTGTCCTTTAAGAACTACTTACCTTTTAAAAGGCCGGCAACGCGTCTGTTATTCCGCTGGTTGTTCATTGGTGGCGGTAGTTGCTTACCATCAGGTAAGCTGTATGCTCGTTTGCCCCCTCTTATATAAAGAACAAAAACTCGTGAACTTTTCTTCCCCATCGGTTCTCGCTTGTCGGTTTTTCGAGCTTTAAGAAGCGAGATTAAACAAAACTAACACTTCCCATTTTTTTCTCAAATAAATACCATTATATATTATTATGAATTTGTTATAATTCAAGCATCAAATATTTTCTCAGAAAATTTTGTAAAAGATTTGATTGATTTGTATTTGGAGAAAAAATTCCACCCTTAAACAGATGGGAAACCTCGTCAAGAGTCAAAAAGTTTTATTATTAAATAATATCCACATAACAGCTTCTGGGGCTTTAACTCTTCTATAGACTATGTGAATTTCTGAAGCTATTAAGTGGAAATTGTTTTATTCTTTTTAATTCTTTAAAGTTGGCCATTACTTTTTACCAAAAGTAAATTTTTTAAATTGCAATCACCCTACAAACAACTTTATGGGTACTGGACTGTTGTTGATTGAAAAAACTTTTTTATTGTAGGTAGAATCAAAATTACGGGAACTTGGTTTTGGATATAGGGCGAAATTCATTCAAAAGTCGGCTGCTCAAATTGTGGAATGGGGCGGAGAGAAATGGTTTAACAGCCTACAGGAGATGAAATACAAAGATGCTAGACAAGAACTTATGAAATTGTGCGGAATTGGCCCTAAGGTGAGTGTTTTTACAATAGAATATTTAATTTGGAACTGAAATGTGGGCCTTTTGCTGTTTACCACATAGAATATGCAAAGTAAGAGATATGATGAGTATGGAGATAATCTCGACAACACGCAAGCATAATGTTGACTACTTGATACTCAACATTACGTTTGTGCTAGTGGAATCTTGACGAAATGCGTACGATTCGCGATCGGGTGGTTTCAAGCAAGTGACGTGCGTAGTGGGGCTACGTTGTATCCACAGTCGTACTGGGGTCGCGGAGCGCTCGCAGAACCGCTTTGAGATTCGCTGCCCGGCGATACGAGAAGGGGATAATATTTAGCTGTGACGTCAGGAACACATATGAGCGCCCCCACTAGATGAAATAAGGACCTGATGATGATGCAAGGAGGCATCTCAGAATCTTCGTAGAAATCTGTAAAAAAGCCTATACTCATCAATGAACAATGAGCTGGTTATGATGAAGAAACATGGTGATATAGCTATGGATTATTAAAAATAGTGTAGAAATTAAAATGTATTAATTCTTATTAGTTTTGCAGGTAGCAGACTGCATATGCTTAATGTCACTGAATCATCTGGAAGCCTTGCCAGTGGACACTCACGTGTACCAAATTGCCGCACAAAATTACTTACCGCATCTAAGAGGAAAGAAAAATGTTACGGACAAGATGTATGCAGAAATTGGTGATCACTTCAGAAATCTCTATGGAGATATGGCTGGTTGGGCTCATACGGTATGCTATCTAACTGTATTTCACTTTTTTGTAGTATGTTAATGCATAAATGTGATAGTACAGCTGGCCCGGCTGGTAATTTTTCCTGTCCCTTCTGCTACTTTTTTACAATGTAATTATTAAATTTTATTAATAACAGCACTTATCAGAATTGTTTTAGTAATTATTTACTTATTTGTATTTTCAGGTGCTGTTCTGTGCGGACCTCAAGAAATTTCAACAAAATGAAAAATCAGATTCTGTGGAAAATTGCAAACAAAGAAAGAAAAGAAAAAATAAATAATAAATGTTTTTATTTTAAAAGTTGTTTGATGATGGTAGTTTAATTCCGAAGAATAAATATAAAAGTATAAAACTGTAGTCCCTCAGATCGAGAGTATATTATACAGGTGTCCAATAACGGTAGCGGGATGTTTTAGTGTTGAAGTTGTAAAGTTGCGGTGCGGGCGCGAGTGGTATGAGTAGCGTCTCGTAATACTTCGTTCAAATTCAGTAGCAAGGATGTCGTACTCGAGGGATGCATCGCGCTTTTTGCGTACGAGCTTATTACCGAAACAATGATTCTATAGTATTAGCGTTTGTATCGTAGGGAATATCATTCTTGTAAAGCACCAACCAAGTGACGATAGCATGATACGATAGCACTATACATACGATAGCACCATACACATATAACGATAGCACGATAGCATTCGAAAATGCATTCGGATGTTCGAAAATACCGGATCTACAATGCAAATTCAAAACAGGTCGCCCGCGATATCACATTAATAATGGCGGCAGTTTCACGAGCAATGTGTCTACGGAGGAGTCATGTTTAGAGGAGCTGGCATCTAGAAAACATTATTTTTCTTTTTATTTATGTACATTTCAAATACCCGATACCCTTTCTGAACCCTTCTTACGTAAGTACTAATAACAACACTAACACATATACAAAAATAATGAATAATGGGATAAGAAATGGCGGTTCCTTACTAGCCTGTACTGTCAGCATACATGTACCTTTGAAAACGGCGCTAATAACGAAATACCGTTTTATTAGAAATTAGGATATTTATTACAACTTAATGTTAATTCATATAATACTTTTTAGTACATAATTGAAGAGAAATGGCTAAATTAAAAAATAAATAAGTACATCAATTTAGAAATAATATATAATGACTTAATTAAACAATATGTTCTTAAGATAAACGTATATTGATCACTTATGTTCTATAATCGGGCCTTGAGCTGAAACGTCTGGTGATTCTCTGATCCTAGACAAACATAAAAAACGCTTATCGCTACACGTGAATAAGGTTTTTGTGGTCGTTACCAGCGGGTGTGTGTGCAAGCGAGTTGCATATAAAGACAAGGCCAATTACTATACAATTCTTTATCTGTGCGAGTAGTAATAAAGTCTTATGATAAAAAATACAACCTGGAATGGTTAAATATATAATTTATATTAAACTAACACCAATATCACAAAACTAATATACTAATGAGAAATTGCACGTAAGAATAAGTGCTTATGGAAGATTCCAATAACATAAGTCTTGATATGTATCCAAAATTAGATACTTTGTTACATTTTAAATAAAAGATAAACCTAAATTTTAATATATATACAGTTATTATACTTAAAATAGGATTAAGTCATAATCAGTGTTGCCGCGAATAAAAAATTTGCGACTAATTTTAAAATTGTTAAAGAAAAAATCCGCTGTCCTACAGACCTGTTTCACGAACTATTAAGTTGTAATGTTTACAAGCCCGGATCTTTAATCAAGGCTCGATTAAAGCACATGATGAAATTTAATACCCATTGAACTACAACAGTTGTAGTAGCTCAAATTACAAAATGGGATTAAAAATTCATATTTTTAATTTCAAATTTATACATTGTAGGCGTCATTTTGTAGTATAAAAAGGTCTCAATTTTTTCAGAAAAGATAGAAATTTTCTGTCAACAAAAAGTGTGCGCAGCACTTATTCACTTATTTCCATAATATATTTGTGGGCAATATTCGATGAGGGCTTGTAAAGCTCGGATCTCGAATGCCAGATCGGTGATGGCGGGGGGAGTCGCCACCAGGGTTGGAGCGAAGACGGTACTCAAGTTATGTGCACTCATTTTATTCACTTCCGCTAATTGAGATACTCTGGCAAAAAAAAATACAATAATTAGTTAAGACATGAAAATCGTAATCGTACTATTTTCACAATCGGATCATTATAATGTATATTACATAGTACAATTTAAAGTAAGTTTGCACCACGGATGCGAACAGTTTACTTGCCGTTTTTATATTGCGCTGCTGGTGACTTAACATTAACAACCTTTTTACTGAACTTTAGGCCTTCCCAAGAAGCAATAGCATAACCACACTGGGCAGGCGGTAGATAAAAGCAGGGCTTAAAGGCTAGCCGTGGTAATGCGGGCATCACCATCAGTAAGTAATATTTGATCCAGTCTATGGAGAGTAGAGGTAAAGAGGACTAATCTCATATGGGGGAGGACAAGATGAAAAAGTATTCAGCTATACACAGTAAATAACAATTCAAAAAGCTTCCGGAATGGCGCTAGCGTAGATACAGGGTATGCTATAAATGTAGCAGTTGTAGATGGATTGAAGTGTGCAGAGTTAAAAAATATATATATATTTGGTGACTAGAGCAGTTAATTACTGTACAGTATACAAAACTTCAACTATTCACGTAGTTCAAAAATATTGTTTCACCTAAAACAACTACTGTGAGAAAATGTGGAGTGATTTTATTTTTGTGAACTTCAAATATGTTTAGTAATTTTTAATGTAAACTGTTATAAAACTTTTTTAAAATAGTCCAAATTAATTTGTCTGTTTTTAAAATTTACCCTGCTGCTATTGTAGCGTAACCCTAATTTAACGCATTTCGACGGATACCTTTTATACACAGAGATAGTCCTTCTTACCTTTCCCTCCATAGTCCAGTTCAGCACTCTTGGATAATTTTTTTTCTTTGGTAATAAACAATACTGGAACAGCGTTCCGCTGGCGGTCAAGTTCCCGCTAAAACTCTCTAAAAGTCTAGGAACTTTATCCAGCAACAAGTAAGGCGAGCCTCGCAAGTAAGGTAACACACGCAGGAAAAAGTTGGCATATTCACCCTTAAGCCTAATTCGCACGAGAGTTAAAAAAGCGTTGCGTTAAAACCCAACATTGGTGTTTTTAAAACGTTCTCAATGTAATTGTTCATACGAACGCTTTAAAATAACTCTTGTCTCGATTCTCGCTTCAGTAAGACGTGGAAATGGTTTCAGCTAAATTACTAGTAATAGCGATTTGTGTTTCTACAAGACGAAAGAGAAAACAAAGGGCATTCCGAGTACATTCTCGAACGAGCAGAGATAATTAAAAGGGCAGTTTGTGACACTGTACGAAGATTTGAGGCAAAACACCGGTAATTTTTTAAATTATTTTCGAATGTTTATAGCAACATTTGACGAACTGTTAAAAATAGTCGGGCCTCGAATAACATTTCAAGAGACTAACATGCGTTTGGCGATACCATGAAGCAAATACAAAGAGGAGACGTTGTAATTAAATTTCACTATGTAACAACGCGTGACAATTTGCGGGGTGAGGGGATGCAAAGCCCCGCCCACTACCCTATCTACATCTACCGATAAATAGTAAAACTACTCGAATCTTTCCATATCGATGTTGCAATGTAGCTTAGCTACCTTGACAGTAGATGGCGGCATGTCCTCAAAATGTTATAAACTTTAAAAATAACACTTTGGCGATTAAAATTTCTTTATGTCTGAATGCAAAGAAATTTCAGCACCTTCGTATGATTATTTTATCATTACTGAGCTCTACGTACCTTTATATTTTTAGTTCACATGACACAAAGTGTCGCCATCTAGTGTGGAATATATTTACGCAATACGCAAAGAGATTTTTCTAGAACTATTTTAATAAATTACGTGTAAAATTACTTACAAATGAAATGTAATGCCATCCATAGCATCGGAGCGTCTATCTTATGAAGCAAATACATTCAGACAAAGAAATTTTAATCGCTAAAATAATATTTTCATAGTTTTCATAATAATCTTGGGAACAGGCCGCCATCTATCGTCAAGTAAACCTCATAAAAAATAACAAAAAGACAGAGCCGCAATTAGAATTCAATTATTTTACCCAGTAACCCAACATTCAATATTAAAATGAAGGAAATTGTACTTGGCTGATTTTTACGAAATGTTTAAGTTATATTTAAGTGACATTCTATATGCAAAGAATCACTTAAATACAATTTAAATATGTTTATCATTTCGTGAAAGTCATCCAAGAAATATTTATTTTATCCATAAAATAAAGTCTCTTTGAAACTAAATATTCTATGTTCAATATTAAGTAGGATATTTAATTTGGAACTAAATATCCTACTTATCTCACTAATATTATAAAGGCGAAATTTTGTGTGCTCTTTCTGTCTCCTTGAGCTTATTCCACACTAAGTATGTGTAATTTTTTCACGCAGAAACGGCTGGATTATTATTTATGTGTGGGTTATACTACTTAATATCTCTGAGGGAGAACAAATAATAGACAAATTATTATAATTAATATAATTTTATTTACAAATCAATTAAAATATAAATATTTTATTCCAAATTAGGCATCCGAATGCACTTTTTAAATGCCAATCTAAGAACATTAAATTGTATTTAAGTGATTCTTTGCATATAGAATGGCACTTAAATATAACTTAAACATTTCGTAAAAATCAGCCTAAGTACAATTTCCTGCATTTAATATTAAAAGTTGGATTACTGGGAAAAATAATTGAATTCTAATTAGGGCCCTGTCTTTTTGTCATTTTTATGAGGTTTACTTGACGAGAATACGGCCTGTTCTCAAAATGATTATAAACTATAAAAATGATATTTTGCGATTAAAATTTCTTTATGTCTGAATGCAAAACAAATTTCAGCACCTTCGTATGATTATTTTACCAATACTGAGCTCTACCTTTACATTTTTAGTTCACATGACACAAAGTGTCGTCATCTAGTGTCGAATATTTTTAATTATATTTGAAAGCCGACGCAAAGAGATTTTTCTACAACTATTTTAATAAATTAGGTGTAAAAATATTTACAAATGAAATGTGATGCCATTCATAACATCAGAGAGTTGTGATGCCATTCATAACATCAGAGAGTCTATCTGAGTAGTTTTTACACAATAAAACACAACACTTCATCCTTTTCTTCTTAATACTACGAAAATACACCGATTTGCGATTTTTTCAACACATAAGCGCACAGGACGAATGCTGACAGTATACTAACTAAAGCCACGCCCACTATGATGACGTCAGGACCTACTTAGAATCACAGTGCACAGTTGCTTATGCCGTCTCCCCTTTGTATTAGCTTCATGGGCGATACCACCTCCACAACGACTGACTGTCACACCGATGTAAATAAAACAATAATAACAAAATTACAAAGCAAGTTTTATTTATTAAAAGCTTAATTAAATTTAACAATCCTCTGGACACAAGTATTGATGAATTCATCTGGTGAACTTATATTGATCGGGCTCTGAACCGTTGTTGAGTTTGGTAGGTAAGTATTCGATGGAGATGGGAAAATATTTGATTTTGAAAGTGGTAAAAAAGCTATGTACTAACTGTGGCTTAACACTTTGCGCAGTGGAATTAGCGGGGTGATATTGACGATTCTCTAAAAATCTTAATTACTTTCGATGGATGTACAGGATTAACGGATGAGGATTGATGCAAGGACGGTGTTTGTGACTCAGTGCTGCTGATACATATCACGGGCTTGAGTGAATTTTGGCTGAGTGCTGTTGTGGGGTCTGAGTATAAATGAACGTAGTCCCCGACTGTGAGTGCTGCTGTTGTGTGGTTTGAGTATGTGGGTTGGGTGTGGGTTGAAGCGAAAAGTTAGAATTTGGGTGACTGAAATAAGTGATTCAATGTTTGGTGATTGGTTACGCTGTCTGATGTATGTATTATGCGACCTATTTGAGAAAGTGCGTATTACGTTTAATATTTCGATTTTGGCTAACATTTTGTTATCATCGTCCATTTTTTTAAGTGATAAACAGAATGTTTTATCCTCATCCCTTTCAGACATTTCATTTTTGAAGGCCTTTATAATGTCATCCTCAAAAGATGATGTAGTTTTCTTTTTCGTCTTTGGAGTCTCTGAAACATTACGTGTGGCCGTTGAATCCAACGGTTGAATTTTCAATATTCGGTGTTGGAGTGCTGTAGTTTCCAGAAGTTTTGGCATCTTTGACGTGTGTAACTAGAAATGGTAATTCGTCGGTATATCTGTATTTTTTTTTCTTTTTTGCACCTTGTCCTGATGTAACATCTTTTTGGGCTTGATACGGAAGTAGTCCCTTAAGTGTTTACGCTTTGCTTGTATGTCTTTGCCTGTAAAAGAAAATATCATTAATGCGCCATCAAATCCCATTTCTAGCATCAGGCAACAATTTTCATGATTTAGATTACCCAGTTTCTACTTGGAGTATCTTCTATATATTACATTATTAAATAAGTCTGTGACGCAATATGGAATTGTTTAAGGCCTGTGTATTTGCCAGAAAAAACAAAGGATGACTTTCAGAAGAATTTTATCACCGCACTAATTTTCCCAATGTCATCGGCCAGTCGATGGTAAACACATTGAAATAGCAAAGCCCGATCAAAGCGGTTCACTGTACTATAACTATAAAAATTACTTTTCTATAATTTTAATGGCAATTTGTGATGCAAACTATTGTTTTACTTGCATTGAAGTAGGAGCATATGGCGGTTCCACTGACTCAAACATATTTAAAAATACATCATTTAACAGGCAATTAGAATCGGACAAAATCGATTTACCAGAACCGAAAACACTACCGAATGATCCGTAGGGGAATATGGGAATATTATGTCATTTGTATTAATGGCGATGAAGTCTTTACCTATGTAAACATGTTTTACGACCATATCCAAACCGTAACTTGACTGTGCAACAATGTGTTTATAATTATCGACTAACACAAGCACGAAGAATGATTAAATGCAGTTTTGGTATTCTATCAAACAAGTGGAGGATTTTAACAAGAGCTATAGATCTTCAACCCGATCGCACGATATCAGTAGTTTAAACATGTTGCGTCCTACACAATTTTGTAAGAACTAAAGATGAATTTCAATTTGATGATACTTTGACAATCCAATAAAAGGTCTACAACCGATAGGTCTAAATAACCACACGGGTCTGAAAATACGTGATTATTTTGCTAAATATTTTACATCGCCACAAGGTTCTATCCCATGGCAATACCAAGTTATCAATAGACAGTATGGTGACTAAAGAGAAATCATTATATATATATATATATATATATATATATATATATATATATATATATATATATATATATATATATATATATATATATAATTTGATTAAAATAAATAAAGTACATTATTTACTTACATCGCGTATATTTTTCCTCATTGGTGAGGGTTTCCCAGCACTTTAAGAGTTTTTTGGTTATGTCCTCCCAGGCATTATTCTTCATTAATTTATTTGAGTAATCTGGCAACGAGACTTCACCTCTATAATTAGCACTTCGGGATCTACAACCCAGGATATCGTATCGACGTTCTGACAACATAAACACAAACAAAAACGTCCGACTGCTGAGCGAGGGCGCGGCGCACTGAATGCAGCGCCGGCGCTTTTTTAGTGCTCGTGTCAATAACAATGAGAAGTTTCATATGGTCAATTCCTTTTAACGCCCAACGCCCAGCGCTGAAAATACAACACTGCTCGATAAAAAGCGTCGCGTTTTAAAAGCGCTTACGTGTGAACATTTACTTAGGAATGAATTTGTTCTATTTGAAGCTTTTTTAACGTATGTTAAAAAAGCTCCCGTGCGAATAAGGCCTAAATCAGAATTGTCCCAAATTGTTCGTCAGTTATCATGTCAGTCGATTACACATCTGTTATTATTCTATGTTCATTATTTTACTGTTTGATACCTACCGATGTAAATGTTGAACCATATACTGCAGACAGTTGAAATGCGCTGGCGGCAATGAATCCAGACATTCGCGGAGCATCGTCACTTGAACCCCTGCTGCCTTCGTTTCTGTTTATTAAATAAATTAAGTATTGATAAATAAATCTCTTAAAAATTGACACACTGGAGCTTTTTCACTTTCACTCTTGCATTTTTGTAATAATAATAACCATTGATTTATCACTAAGAAGGTCATACCTGCTGTGCGTTTTTGACTCCAATGAAAACCGCGAGACGGGAAAAGGGATTCCTTAACACCGCAATAACACGGTGTATAAAATATCAGATTTTGTATGAAAATTATACATTTCATTATCCATTAGAGCCTATAAAAGTTCAGTGATGAACATAGGCCTCACCCAAAGAATACCTCATATAGAATTCTGCCATAGTTGCTATGCTTGACTGGCAGTGTTGGCAACTGCAGTTTATTATTATTTTGAAATGTTATCAGGAAGATATTGCTGCCCTTCTTTCCTACTGTCGCTTTTTACGACACCCACTGGAAGATATGTGGTAGTGGATATTCTTACACCGCCAATACACGGTAAATAAAACACTGTCCAAAATCATTTATGAAGCCCGCAGCAATGCAGTAGACAGAAGAAAGACACAGCAGTTACAGACAGTTACAGCAGAGTGTTGGTGCAGAAATGTGTTCAGTTACGAAATTTTAAAAACCAAGAAATTTGAAAATACTTACGTATAGCACTCAAAAGTTTCGGATGAACCTCGTACGTGATGAGAGGCACGGGTAAAAGACGTAGGTAAAGTTTCAGAGTTCCTGCTATTACATTTATATTACTAAACACACTTAAATCCGTCGCTTCACCATCTGAAAAACCATTTTAAAAAGATTATATTAATCGAGATAATAAATTATAATTTTATTGCAGGAAAAAAACAGATGTTCAAGTTCTTGTTTTTTTAAGCGATTACCATACAATATTTTTCTATCATCATCATATATTATCATCATCATATTACATTCTTCATCAGCTACATTTTTATTTAAATCCTTTATTTCATGATAATAAGCAAAACATTTCTTTAACTTCCCAAATGGATTCTGCTATAGGTACTGACTATATCGTCGGAAAATCAAAGTAAAGTAATGTTTATGCATTAATGTTAATACCTTATCCTTTCAGTCTAGGAGCTTTAAAACGTTTTCCTATACAGCAGCGAAGGGATAAAATATCACCCTGTCTTACACCTCTGCACTAGATAGATTTCATACTCAGGTTTGGATATTTCGATTATAATCGGATAGACATTACAAACACTTCCCTTCAGTATGTTTATATACCGACAGTCAATCTTACGCCGTCTAAGGGACTGCAAGCATCGGACAAAATTGGACTGTATCGAAGGCCTTTTTATCATTGTAAAAGTTTCGAACTGCAGCAGTGCATGGACAGTACTGTCTCACTCTCAGACACCCTAATAATTAAGTTATTCGTAAAAAATTCCTTAATTTTTGGCAGTTTTATCAAAACTTTAGCTTTGGCTTGCAAGCTTCGACTGATTTTAGAGTTATTATAATATGATAAGTAAACAAAGGATGTATGTATTTACTAATAATTATGTATGTATAAATATATATAAAAGATGTATTTTTCTTATCCTTACCTTTGTCAAAGGCCATCTTTAATGCTTCAATCTCATCCGCAAAACCAGAAACACGGTAAATGCCCTCAGAGTCCATGCCTCTAGCCTCGATTTCATTCACGCATTTTCTCACAACAAAGGGCAGTGTACTTGAGTGCGCATTCAGTAGCGTCGTTAGATCTATGCCGAACACACCGCGCAGTTTTTTCAAATCTGGTAAGCAGTGATTTGGCACCCGCTCAGAACACTTAGAATGGGCTATAAAACCACAATCTGTAATCAAAAGTTGCTGTCCATTTATATATTTCAAAATTAATATATAAAAATTACTATGTTCATAAAATTCACAAAATATCTTTAGTGTTGGCTGTATGAGGAAGTTAAAGTACACAGTAAAACCAGACCAATCGACTTAGTCAAACGGATCAATAATTTAAAGTGGCAATGGACCACATCGAGTACAAAGAGCCGATAACCGATGAGATAAAAAGGTATTCAAGCAGATACCTCATACCAGTAAGCAAAATGTTATGCAGTCCCCCACTAGATGGGAGTGACAACCTAGTAGACATTCAGTAAGTCGATGGATGCAGATGACTCAAAACCATGTTTTAGTGGCATTCCTTGAGGGTAGCCTATGTTTAGCAGTGGATTTGTGGTCTGTAATGATGATGATGATGAATATGTTCATAAATAATAAAAATAGAAACACAATGTTGTATGCACTCTATACATATTATGTAAAGACAACTAATAGTTATTAGTTTTAACAGTGGTAGAGCCACGCGGCAGCTTTTCCTGTCGCACGAATGGGCCGGCTCGAACCGGGGTGGTACCACGACCTCACAGAAAACCAGCGTGAAGTAGAGGTTTACCTCTGCGTTTCGCTTGGTGAGTGCAGGTGGCCGGAGGCCCTTTTTACTGGAAATGAGGCATTCCATCTTAGTCCTCACGGGTGACAACGCATCTACATTTTGATTTGTAACAACAGAGGATAGATGTAGATGTCTATGGGCCGCAGCAACCACTTACCATCAGGTGGACTGTGTGCTCGTTTGTCACCCTTATCCTATAAAAAAAAAAAAAAAAGTTAGGGTGATTTTGGTATCAATAAAAAAAAAACTGTTTAAAAATTAAACTATGCATCTATGTTAGTCAGTAGTATATTTAAGTTAAATCCATGCACACACAAAAATAACATGAGATAAATAAGTATGTAAAATTATATAATTAATTAAAGAATAGAATGGAGAAGTAAAGTATGCAATTTGACACACTACAAAAGTTTGATAAATAATTATAGGAAACAAAATGCTTTTGGAATCTAATATGCTGAGCAATAAAACATATTTTTATTCTCACCCACAAGTTAAAAAAAGATTATACAAAATAAACTGTCAAAATAATAATGGCTGAATGACATGACATTAATTGAGATTGTCTCAAAAACAGGTACCTGACAGGGCAGGCACCCTGAATTTTGAAAGTAAAATGCAAAGAATCAGGTCATCACAAAAGATGACTGATGTTCAGTACACTTTCTAAAGTGAATGACATTTTTCAGACAATCTATATCGACCACTGGTATTGAAAAATATGTTTTCTATATTAATTATTGACATGCTAAATTATATTAATAGCGCTTTTACAACTTGGATTATATGTGATTACTAAAAAATCCAAAACTAGTGAAAAATTTATTATATTATTGTAAAAATTACCTTCACACTTAACACCCTGTGCAGTAAAACCCCAGAGAAAATTAGCACACAGCTCACACCAATTGAGGCCCTTAAATGTATGAACTTTGAAACTATGTGATTTTGAATATTTGTACAACAATGAATTGTCTTCTACTGTAGGTGTCAGATCACAAGTCTTTTTTATAGTAAGGTCTGGTTTAATTTTGCTTTCTAATTTGGTATTGACTGGACTAGACCTATTTGATGCCCTGAGAAAATTAAAAAAGTGTAATAAATGACAATTAAAATTTTAGTGGTGTAATTTACAGATGTGATGCAAAATGGTAAGTATAATGATTAAATGTTTTCTTTAGGCTGCTATAATATATTCAGAGCAATTAATTTTATAAACACTTAGGACTTAATTTTTATTAAGTTCATTTATTTATCAATACAAATTGATGCTTTAACCATATTTCAATATTACTGACAGAAGAAATAAAGTAAGCTATCAGAATTTTTTATAATTGTAATGAATGAAATTAATTTGAAATAAATCAATACTAAGTTAGTAGAATTATTCAATATAATTGAAAATAGAAAACTTAATATATAAAGATATATCAGAAAGCTACTTACTGATGTATTTGAGACAATGTATTCATTTTGCGCCTATTTAATGTCACATAGGGGCTGTCTGTATAGCTGGTCCTCGAGTTTATCATCTCGAGGATGTGATGGGCTTTAATTTCCATGTGGCATGTGATCAGGCCATCGGCCACCAAGTCGTAGATTGTATCATACCTCTTATCTTTAATATAATGTGTACCGTCATAATATAGTTTGTAGTGATGTATTTTGTCATTGAACCTGAATTAAAACAGGATATTTATGTAAAAATATTACTATAAAAAAAACAATACCTTGACATTTGAACACTTTAATATGGCAGAAACATGCTGCAGCTATGTTATGGTTGATGCACGAATAAGTTGCCTTGACCGGGGCAGGACCACACTCTTACAAAGTACCGGTATAAAAAACAAGCTTAATGCTATTGTGCTTTAAAAGTCAATGTAACCAGATACCATTTTTACTGATAACAAGGAATTCTGTTTCAGTCCCCAGGGGTGACAACACATCATCTAAATTTTGATAATTCAACAAGGGTAGATAGTAGATAGTCTTTAGGCCTCAGCATCCACTTACCATCAGTTAGACGGTATGTTTGTTTACCACCCTCATTTTATAAAAAACACAACATCTATACATCACTAAGTTTGGAATTAATTGACAGTTGAACAATGCTGAAAAAAAGATATAGGGAAGAAAGATTAAGGTGGCAAACTGTTGTTATTAAAGAATATACCTACATTCTGCAAGTATATTCTTTAATAACAGTTGAAATTCTACATTGCAATAATTTTTAAATAAGAATATGAATAATTTTTAATTTTTCTCCGTGTAACTTAAGTGTAAAGTGAAAAGGTGATTGTGACATTGAATGTTGATGAATGAAGAAAAATATGTTTTGTGCAATGCTTATTGTAAAATTTCATATTGGCAGTAAGTTAAGTAGAAACATATTACATCCTTAATCTAAACCCACATTTTGTTTAAAATAAAAAACATAAAAAATTACTTAAGTAAATTACATTTGCTGGCTTTCTAATTTTAGTGCAAGCACACAAGCTTTTTATTCCTCTTATCCACAAGAATGTCATGCATTGACTTTTCATAAAGTTGGTCACCTTAAGAAAGATACGAACTTCAATTAATTAAATAATAAAAACAATGAATCATATCTATGGGAAATAGATGTTAAGTAACAGATAAATATAAATTTACAAACCTCCATGTTAATGTATAAAAATCATTATGTTCATTTCCTTTTCGAATTAAGAAGGCTCCATTTGGCTCATTTTCAAGTAGTGATGAGGCCTCCTTATGACCCAATATGCCATGGTATTCTTTTCCATAGAACTCTGGTCGATCTGGACAATTTTCACACGTTATTCGCTTAGGTATTGGTGCTTCCAGTTGTATGCGATATACTGAAAATTACAAATTTAGTTGTTAAAAGCTTTTGACCTCAGTAGGGTTAAAATAATTTACTTGTCTACTTACGTTCAGGTTTCCAAATATTTTTCAAATTTTCCATACTTTATTTGGTATCTATAACAAAGTATTTATTTCGGCCTACCATCAGAAATTTGACTGAAAGTTTTAAATCACTTTAATTTAACATAAACTACTCAGAAATTGGAAAATCAAATCACAGAATAAATAAGCGGCCAACTAAACGCAAAGATATTTATACATGTTTATACAATATCTTGACTAAAAAACTAAAATGAATTCAAATCAATTTTTTTATACCGCAGCCGTCAACTGTCAATGTCAATTGTCATATTGTCAAGTGTAAACCATCAACCACAGACAATTTTTTTACTGAGATTTTTTTACTTTGGATGCTTATCTTTTAAGCCAAGTCTTCTTTTCATTCGAGATCATCGTTTTTATAAATTTTAAGTATCAAGGGACAATAATTCTTTATAGTGTTTCACAATATATTGATGCGTCAAATTGCGTAGTTTTTGGGAGATTTTTATAGCAACTTGAGCCAACAGACAGTTTTCGATAGTATCTCAAGGCGCCTAAGCAGACAAACACCTTATCTTGAGATTCACATCACCATCGGAGCACTTGTTTCACCATTTCCATAAATAGTTCACATGCGCAGACATTTAATACATAAAATCGTACCACTTCTACATGTAAAAATCCACTTCAAACCATTACTTAAACTATAATACAGGAGCAGCAATCCGCCGCCGGTCAAGTTCCTGCCAAAACTCTCAACCACAGAGACTGCTGTCAAGTGTCAACTGAGTCATTAGCGATGTGTACCGGTTTATAAAATACATCTTAGATACCGGTTATTGTGAAACCCGATTATTCATTTAATAATTTGAAAAAATCCGATGCTTCGCATCAATTGCAACAACAAAAAATCACACGAAGGCATATAGTTTTTAAGGTTTATTTTAATAAGTTTCGATAATTTAGTATTTAGTAAAGCCTTTTCTGTCCCAAACGCATTTCTACTTAGTATTTTATAATGTAATGATGGTATTATGCAAAATTTTACGACAAGAGTTTTTTGATTTTAAATAAAAAAAGAACCATTAATGTACAACATTTCCTGCGATAGTTAAATTTCGTGTTGGCATTTTTGTAAAAGTTCCCGAACTTATACGTGAGTTGAACTCGACTTGAAAGAAAAACGATTTTCAGCTTAGAAAGGACGATTGGATTAAGTCAGTGCTATAAGGTGGGCATAAAGCAGAAGTTTATTTGTAGAACGAATACCTTTATCATGGTTGGAACAATGATACTGAAATAAGGGTATGAAATAATGAGGATGAAGAGACATCGGGATGAAATAAAGAGTAGTGAGTGTACGTAGAATACAGTGTTGTAGAATGCGTTGCCACTGACGTTGAGAGCGATAAGTAGAGACATAATAAGATTTTCGAATATTAAAAATGAATCGAATGCAGCTATTAAGAAAATCAAATTTGTTTAGATGTTCTGTCTGATCGAGGTGATCTAGTGCTACAAGCTACAATCACAATATAGCTATAGCATGGCTTTACCACGTATAACTACGACATCCCATGTTAAATAACATAATTTACTTGTCGATCCTGGAAAGTTTTTAGATGAATAGAAATATGATATAAAAAACCTATCTTTATTACTTCTTAATAGTTAATCTTCGTGAAAAAATTATTGACCTCAGTAAGTTTGGCAACTGATTCTGGATTCTGGTCATAAATAAGCTAAATTCTGATATAAATTATGCGCTTTACCATTTCCTCTTATTTTTAATATTCCAAGGAGTTGCTGTCCACTGGACCACAAGGCCTAACGCAACAACTTTCCTCGCGGTGTCTGATCTAGTAATCGATAAATAGATGAATATCCTAAATATACTGGAGTCTACTAGACCGCACATCACTAAAAGTTACGTTTTGACTTTTGACATTCGATGTTGATTTGACACTGACATATTTATTATTTATGTTTATCTCACAATGGTAATCACAAATATGTATAATTATGTTTATCAAGCTCAACTCATAGATTAGGTACTTCTACTTATCATAAATTACTAATATAATATATAGTACTAAGAAGTACTAATACTAGGTACACAGCAGCAGCAGTCGAGATCGAGAGGTGATCAACGTAGTGATTATATTCTTTTGGAGGTAAAGACTCCTATAAAAAAAGAAATAATAAGTACTAAAAGTATATAGATAGTTCCCGTGTATAATATTATTCTTTATGTATAAATTATCAATTTGTCGGACTATACAGTACTGCCACCGCCTCCTGGTAGTCCAGAACTTTTGAAAGAGTACCTTGTAATAGAACAAATTGCATATCAAATATAAAATAATAAAAAATAAAAAAGTCATGTAATTCACAATGAATACATAAACAGAATAAAATTAAATATTTGAAATAAAATTATGAAATAAATTGAAATAAAATTATGAATCAGGCATTCATAGGCTGCTACCATACTCACATTCAAACTGAGATATTACACATCAAGATATATTTGTGGTGCCGAGAACTAATGGCAACCTGTTTGTTCATGTATTCACGAAGGACATCTCCCCCATGGTGGATTCATAATGTGACTATTGTACGTAAATGTTAAAGACATGTCAGATTATAAGGGATTAATTAGGCTGGGCCGGATTACCAGGGGCACTGTATTTAGTATCTATTTATCATATCATTTTCTATCCTTTGAAATGTCCCTTTATTCATTGTATGTTAAGCTAAATTGTGACAAAACCATAATGATAGTCCAAGTGTGGGGGGTCGGAAAACTGTAACACACGGTATCTTAGTACAGGTTCGGCTCTCTTACAATGGTCAATCATTAGTTAATATAAGATTAAAAAATAAAGATTTTTTTATGTAGATTAATTAAAGTTAACTATTGCACTAATATTTTGTTTATGTTGTAGTTTAAAAGAGTACGAAATTTAAAGGAAAAATGTGTATAGTTTTTTTACACATAGACAGCCCCAACTCTAATAGTGACTATAAACTGATATTAATATCAAACAGAGATGAGTACTATGACAGGCCAGCACAAAAAATGAATTCTTGGGCGGAAGATGCTAGTATTTATGGAGGTATGAATATTTTAATACAAAAATATGTTTATTCTGTATAAATAAAATGATAGAGGTTCACAGTTATGCATGCGTTATGGAAAAACTACTGGATAGATTTCAATTAGGGCAACACGGATGAATTCGTGGGTATCAGCTAGTTGAGATATAAAATCAACCAAGATTTGCAATAGAAATTGAAATGATAAGGTTTGGCAAAACCCCCCATGAAAGAAAGCTAATTGTTTCTAAGAGACTTAAACATAAAATTTTATATATATATCGGGGTTAAATTGGTCATAAATAACAAGAGGGCTGATATAGTACTTCCTCCAAAATATGTGTGTGTAAGAAATAATCAACCCAAAATTAAAAAGATTTGCTTTCTTTCTAAGGTCGTGATTTACAACCTGGCTGTGAAAATGGTACATGGCTTGCAGTGTCTACTTCTCGTAAAAAAATTGGATTATTGCTCAACTTGCCAAGCATGCATAAAAAACCTGCTCATAGTGAGTTACTAAATTTGAGTTTTTTTTATAGCATTATGCTAGGTATTTTAAATATGTGAATAATATACAAGTATGAGTGGCAATTTCACCTGCATGTTTTCTACTGGTGAATCAAATGCTCAAGAGTCAAGACTATGATAACTGTTAAGTTAACAGTGGTAGAGCCACGCGGCAGCTTTTGCTGTCGCACGGATGGGCCGGCTCGAACCGAGGTGGTACCACGACATCACAGAATACCAGTGTGAAGTAGAGGTTTACCTCTGCGTTTCGCTTGGTGAGTGCAGGTGGCCGGAGGCCCTTTTTACTGATTCGCAAACGAGGATCGATGTAGATGTCTATGGGCCGCAGCAACCACTTACCATCAGGTGGACTGTGTGCTCGGTTGTCACCCTTATCCTATAAAAAAAAATGTTACTATTTGAAGATCCAAAATTCAATAGTATGGTGATGGGGAGGAGCTTAAAGCAGTATGCGGGTATTGTTCTTGTCATCCATCCATTCTGCCAAGTGTGGTGCTTACAGATAAATCTTAAGCACGATTTCTGTATGCCAGGTCTGTGACACATTCTTGAAAAGTTCATTATAGCCCACAGTGGATTAAAAAAACATTGTTAAAGTAGAAAACCTTATCATCATAATGATGCCACAAGTTCACTGGTGAACATAGGCCTCCTCAAAGAATGGTTCTGGCCACCTGCATACATTAACATCCTGTATCTTACCAGGTAGTCACTTTATCTGGTGTCGTGGCCACCTTCTACACTTCTCTTACTAGTACAAGACTGCCACTCAAGAACCTTTCTTCTCAATTGGTTATCAGAGTTAAATAACTGGCCCATTGTCACTGAAAACTTGGGCTATATCAATTACTCTGGTACTATTGAACTAAAATGAACTTCTATTTAGGATGTTTTCTTTGTTTTTACATGTGATAGAGCCACCCTGCAGCTATATTATGGTTGTAGGACGAATGGATCAGCTCGACCAGGGTAGGAGCACACTCTCACAGAATACCAGTGTAAAATAGCAGCTTAATGCTGCTGTGTTTCGTGATTGTAGAGAACCAGAGACCGTTTTTACTTGAAACAAGGCATTCCATCTCACTCCTCAAGAATGACAACGCATCTGCATTTTTATTCGTAATTGAGACTAAATGTAGATTTTTATGGGCCACAGCATCCACTTACCACAAGGTGGACTGTGTGCTTGTTTGTCACAATCACTTAGCGACTTTGGGCTTCCGGTAATGAAGGAAAATCTGATCCATATGTCATGACACTGGTTGTACACTTTTGTTTTCATGTTTTGAGGTATATGTGACAAGATTGTGTTTTAATCTTCCAAACAATAAGCTAATGTTTACCCAAAAGATCTTAATTATGTACCCTATAATAATGTTAATATATTGCAAGGTTAATTATTTCATTATTATTTAAATTTAAGGTAGGGGAAAAATAGTTGAAAATTTTGTTAAGAGTGACTTATCAATAAAAGACTTCATTGAATCTATGAAAGATTATTTCCAAGACTGCAATGATTTTATTTTAGTAACTACTGAATATGGGTGAGTTTTTTTTTTTGTAGCAAAGTGTGTATATATTTTATATTTTATTTATAATATATACACATATATTATTTATAATGATTTATATTTTTTTTATAATACACAATTATAAAAACACCATTTTTTTAGAGTATTTACACCAGTTATACAGACCTATAGCAATGCAACTAATGAATTAAAAGTTTGGAATGATAGATATATGGGATTTGGAAATTGTCTTCCTGACACTCCATTGAAAAAAGTAGAAGCTGGCAAGTCTACATTTCAAGAAATTTGTAACAAATATAGTAAAATAAATGATAAGGAAAAGCTTATTGAGGAACTCATTTGCATTTTAAAGTCAGAAGAAAGGTAAATTTTAATAACACCTTTTATCCGATTGACTAACTTGTAAGAAAGGTAAGCCGAGTTCTAAAACAACAAATTTTTCATGAGCTTTTCAACAATTATTGAAATATAAAAGCAAGTAGTATATAGTTTCATTTTAGTGAATTTAAATGTAAGTACCTAAAAGTAAAGTTACAGCCCCCACTGATAGGAAGTTCTTCTTTTAATTTATGGCTTCTCTATATTTCATTCCTAAGAAGCAGTTAGTTCGCCATGATATCCTGTTAATGTGTTTTTGGGATTTCATATGTTCTCAAAATACTTTATTTCTTAGACATACAAGTTTCTTACAATGTCTTCCTTAAACACAGAAAACCAGTACATAAATTACCATTGCAGCCTGTCAAAGCTTCCCCATTATGGATATTTATGGTTGGCAACCGCAGCTTTTAATTTATTTTTATTAGGAATACACTGCTGCCAATTTTCAGGTTTGTTTCTCAGTGTTGCTTCTTACAACACTCAAGGGACAGTATGGGGTAATGGATATTGTATGTACCTTAAATTGCAATTATCAATTTATTGGTATATCAAAATTTTTAAGTTTTTTTATTTTATTTAAATAGGTATTCAATTTTCTATCATAAAAAGAACACAAGCAAACACTTTCAAGGATTCTAGTATCAAGGAACTGAATATGCAGGAAATTCCCTGCATTTTAAGTTTCTAAATGCAATTAACTTATATTTATACACTATGTTTATTAGTTTAATAATTTTACTCTTATAAAAGATTCTGCATGAACAGTAACAAAAAATAAATAAAAAATATGATAAATGTCCTATGTTAACATAAATTACTAGGAAAGAAATTTTTTTTTTACTACAACATACTCCCAAATTGTATTTTACAGTGAATATATGTTTAACAGGAATTTACCAGACCCACAATTGGAACAAAGACAACCACAAAATTTTAAGGAGCTAAGTTCAATTTTTGTTAAAATACCTTATGGAAGATATGGCACAAGGTAAAATTTTTGAGATTCCTATGTTCAGATGTGGATTTTTGATTTGCTGTACTAAAGGGCTGTTAATAGTTTAGTTTACTACCAAATGGAGCAGTGGTTGCGCCCTAGCTGAACTCCTAGCCCGGTAGGAGATCTCCGCTTTTCCTGTCTCGGCTAAAGTGGTGACCGCTATTTAATTGTCTATATCAACAATGCAATCTGCAAACTTCGGAACCCTCAACTTAAAGCTTTCGTCATTGCAAACCTTTTGCAAAGACAGGCAAACTAACAGTCTACTTGAAGGTAAGTGGCTACAGAGGTCCATAGACACATGTTTAAACAAAAAAGGCTACAAATGCAGTCATGACTTAGGACTCAAATGATTCATACAGTACTGACCTCAACACAGCAAAACATGTACTGCTGCTGGACCCAAGGCTAAGGAGTGTTACAAGCAAGAAGGTAGTTATATTCAACAATACTATCATATTTTGTTCCAGAGCACATACTATAATATTGGTCACTAAAACAGGAAAAATGGATCTCATTGAGATAAGTATGTCTTTTCCAATAGACTCAATAAAACCTTCCTGGGAAAGAAGCGAATTTCATTTTGGGGCACCAGTATAATTGTATTAAAATAACTTTTGTTAATAAGTATTTTATTTATAAGAGATTTAAACACTGTAGTTTGTTAACTAATAAATATTGTTTTACAATTTTGTCTTTATTTTTTCATGTACCAATTCTCCACCATGAACTCTGTAGGAATAAAAAAATCACAATCTTGCTCTAAAACACAGCCTAAAAACTTAGGTATATTTAAAATTGTACCAGATAATATATGAGGATATTTGTTTTGATTTTCATCTGTGTAACTAAACATAAGCCTTTTACATATATAATCACCACTCACAGAAATATTTCCAATTTCTACATATGATTTCATTGAACAAGAATACATTTCTATAGAGATTCTCAATGATTCCCACATTTGTAATTTATCAGCTGTTACAATACTCAAACGAAAAGGATATCCAAGTTTACTGTACATAATTTTGGTCATTTCGGTTATTTCCTCAAGCATAATATCACATTCATCTGCATTTTTCACTGCAATAAATGTGGTTATAACTGATGATTGGCTTACATTAAATAAGCTGATTTCTTCAGAATTTGCTGGAGTGTATTGTCTACCTAATGAAAAATACTTTAAATGTAATACTTTAGCATACAATATATTTTTAGTATAATATGCTAAAAAGGATAACAAAGAACCACCACCAGTTAAATGCAAACGATTGTCTATACTGACTTTAGAGTCTTCATTGTGATGTAAAATAAAAGTATGATTGGGGTTTGTATGATCTAGGCCACATCCCTCTATGATTAAACTCTTTACAAAATCAGGACTTGAAAACTGTGTAAAGCCATTATCTTTTAATATGTTGCTGAAATAAAATTGAGCTCCAAGTTCAAATACTGCAGCATCACCCTTTAAATAATAGTTATCTTTTCTAGTGAACTGTATCAGATCTTTATCTGTTCCAATCTTCAAATGATTTTTGTTATTATTTGGTGAAGTTTTGTAATTAAAAAGCAATTTATTTTCTGTACTTGGGGTTAGTATATGCAAGTTATTTGGTAGTTTCAAGTATTCAACTACTGCAGCTTCTTCTGCCGACCAAAATGGAACCTTCAATTTCTTAATATTTTCTTTTAGTAAACTATTTTGTATTTTTAATCTTTCTATATCTTTGTCATTTGGTGAATTTTTAAATAAATTTGATAATTCTTTAGTCACATCACTTTTCTTTTTTTCAAGCTCAATTTTCTTCTTCTTAAGGTCCTCATAAATTAGCCAAAGATTTTCAACTTTTGTTAAATCAACATTAGAATTTCGTTTTAAAATATTTGACTTGATATATTCCTTATGTTTAATACACTCAGGGAAATCTATATGAGGTGTTACATATGCAAAAGTGTCAGTTGCTTTTTGACCATTTATAAATAAAGCAGAATGTCTGACTGAACAAAAATAAGAATACTTAAATTTAAACACACTGTTGAAAATAACCTTATGTATCATTGTCACTTACTTTCTTTTTCTTAGTAGGAGTGTTTTCATCTAATACAGCATCTCCATCTTGATCTAGCAAATCTTTGGAATTTTGAGTCACAATTTTCCTTTTATTAGGAAGTTTAAAATTGCCGTGTCCAGCGGCACGTTCGGACTCTTCTATACTATAAGGTTCTAATTCTAGAGCTTTTAACCTCCTTTTATGTACTTTTGTTTTAAAATGTTCTGTAAGAGCTTTTTCATCAATAAAATAGCGAGCACAATGAAGGCAATAATGCTGCGCTGCGCCTGGTAAATCTAAATCTACTGTTTGATTCAATAATTTCTCAGCATTGTCTGAAAAAGATAAGGATAATATTATAGACTATTATCATCTATAACCTAAGAGTGAACATGTGATTTTAAAACTACAAATTATTTTTACAGAAATAATCTTACCTTCCTTCAAATCATTATCGATTTCATCAAGATCTTTTTTTCTATTTCTTACTCTCCATCGCTTTTTTAAATGAGTATCACCTTGATGATATTTCTTTCGTTTATAGGTCATAGTAAATAAATTTAGAGGTAGTATGTAATAAATTTGACAGTTTGACACTGACATGTCTGTCCGCTGTCAACGTCAATTTGTTGTTGTACAGGTTCGCCAATATAAGGCTTTCAAAATTTAAAAGTCGAAACACTATACAGCATTGATTTTTATTTTATTACAGTTTAGTACCTATTTTTTTTACAAAATGCTGATGCGTTATATTGCATAGTTCTTGGGACATTATGACGACAGCTTGACCCAGCGGATACAGTCCGTTTTCGTTAACAGTTATTTTACCTCTATAGCTATAAAGTTGGCTAACCAGAGGTCTGTGTCACTATATGAGGTTTGTATGCATAGAATTATTACGCATAGAATACTAGTATGCGCACCCAAAGTGAAGCAAGTAAAACTAACGCGAAACCGCGTTAGTTGACTCAGCGACGCGTCAGTGCGCAATGTCACGTCTTACGGAGAAGAGCTCGCGAAGAATTGTAAAAATTACCGTTTGTGTTGTAAAATAATGTCACAACGGTGATGATAAACATAAAAGAAGTGATGGTATTACATTTCACATATAATTTTATACATTTAATTTATTATAAGTACGTAAAACTAAAAAAAACCTTAGCTCTTTTTTTTTGGAGTTTATGGCCTGGCATCTAGACCTTTAGGCCATACCTTAGCTCTCATAATACAAATGTTAGTGCTAGTTGTGGGGAAAAAATCACAATTTTATTTTAAAAATATTTATTTTCTATTTGTGCTTGAAAACGTTTAATCGCAACGCTCTGTGTAAAACTCAAATGTTTATATATAGATACTTACTTCTCTAAGTGTTTACATTATATTAACAATGGGTGGCTATTTAAAACTAATACGGAGTGATCAGCTAATCACGATTCGTCGACGCCATTTTAACACAACTACTTTATTTTAATTGCTTTGTTTAAGACTAAGGTTGAGTTTTAGAGTATAGAATAAAAACTTTTTTATTTACAACATCAAGAGATTATTAATAAGAACACCTTTACTAACCAGATGTCACTTTCCACCCAAACATTAACCAGATGTTACGTTAAACCCAAACATAGCCTATTTTAACAGACTCCCAAAAAGAAAGGTTATCAATATGTATGTACACTGATTTCTAAGCTTGATCAATTCGTATATACATTCTGAAATTTTAGTGGTTGTTGTCCCGCCGCCAAATTATACCGTCTCGATAGTAGAGTCAATTTATTAAATTAAAAAATATTACAATTAAAAAAGGGCAGATTTACAATAGTAATACCTCACAAGCTATTCGGGCGTCCAAACTAGTTTATGTCGTATCACTATGCTTGAGAGTTCATGTTATGAACATTTATTCGTGGCCCTTCACTGTCTAGTAAGCGCGCGGTAGCACGTGCGATAGACGTAACACTACATTACGTCCAGCGAATTTTTTTTCAGAGTTTATTATAGTAATTCGGTATAAGCTAGCCTGTACACCCGACCTACTTGCGAGATATTGCTACTGGTTTGAGATCGCATTCGAGTTTTGTTTTTCTCGATTGTAAATTTGCCATTTTTACATCCTAATAATTTTATTTTAATAAATCTATTGTACTACTAAGGCAAAATCATGTTACTTCGGGAAAACAACCATTAAAATTTCAGCATGTATATTGGATCAATCTGTGTGTATATCCTGTCAAATAAAAAAATCTAAATCGGTTTAGAAATTGTAGAATTCTGGATAAAAAACATTAAAAAATACACCGAATTGATAACCTCCTCCCTTTTTGAAGTCGGTTAAAATTAAACATTACACGATGTGACAAACTTTTGATATCATATATGATGAAAGACGTTTTAGCATCTAAAGCGCTTGCCTTCAGTGCCTTCAAGACACTCATGCTATCAGAGATCAGTAACCATTTATTAGATACATGTGGGTGTTCTTCTATATATTTAAGAGCGATTAAGACAGCATAACATTCTGCAGTGTATATGCTTGCTAATGCAGGAATGGAAAGGCCACATCCAGTTTTCAGATGGGGTATGTAAAATGCACAGGCTACTTTATTTTCAACTTTTGAACCATATGTGTAAATTTGTCGATATTCATCATATGTAGATATAAGTTCATAAACCTCTTCTTTTCTTTTCAATTTTGCATCAATATTTATGTGTATATCACTGAATTTACTTTCATAATTCCCCTTATAACAAGGCCAAGTATGTGTGCTTTTGTGAATATTATATTGTTCATCATATAGTATCACTTTATGAAAGTCATGGAGTATATATGAGGCTGAGTTAGATATAGGAGACATACTATTATAGTAAAATAATACTTTTTGAAAAAGAGGATGATGAGACAAAGAATTAATATTTAATAAAAACCTAAATTTCAGATATTTAAACCTAAGTAAGATAGGAGGAGTAATACATTCAGCCTGTAAAGAAACAATAGGAGTTGTTCTCATAGAGCCGGTAATAAGTCTTAAATTCTTATTTTGTATATTTTCTAATTTGTTTACTAGTTTTTTATTTGATGCAAAACAAAGAAAGCCGTACTCAAAATGGCTCCTCACCAAAGACTTATATAACACTAATAATATTTCTGGATCAGCTCCCCAGTTAGTACTAGCCAAAGCTTTTAATACATTAAAGGCCTTAGAAGCTCTGTTTGAAATAGAATTCACGTATTTGGTCCAAGAAATTATTTGTAAAAATTACACCTAAGAATTTTGTACAACTTTCTATTGGTAAAAATGTATTATTATAAATTATTCTAGTGTTAAACGGACGAATTTTATTAAATATTACGATTTTACTTTTCTCAGTACTAATATCTAAATTTAAGTATGAAAAGTAAATGTGCAATTTCTTTAAAGCCTCATATAAAGTGGTTACCAAGTTTTTGACATTTGTTCCTGAGGCATATATGACCAAATCATCTGCATATTGTAAATTAATAACATTTGATCCTAAAATATTGTTTAATTTAAATATGTATAAAATAAAGATAAGAGAACTTAATATTCCTCCTTGACAAACACCTTTATAACTGAGCCTAGGACCAATAATTGTATTATTATTATTAACTTTAGCAAAAACTCTTCTTTCATGTAAAAAGTTAAATATCCATTTTACAATTTTTTCAGGAATGGCCAAAGACCTCAACTCTACGGCGAGTACATGAAGATTAACGTTATTAAAATGCACCAACAATGTCAAAGAATATACTATACTTCTTTATTTTCCATAGCTTTAAAGATGTCTAAATTTAGAAATGCAATACTTTCTCTAGACGACTTACGGCATCTGAATCCAAACTGATTTGATGGTAAAATACAATTTTTTTCTAGATAAAATTCTAATCTAGATTTTATAAGTTGCTCAAATATTTTACCCATACAAGATGTAAGTGCTATAGGCATAGAATTATTACGCATAGAATACTAGTACGCGCACCGAAAGTGAAGCAAGTTAAACTAACGCGAAACCGCGTAAGTTGACTCAGCGACGCGTCAGTGCGCAACGTCAGGTCAAAGAGAATATAACCACTACGTTTACGTCACGTCTTACGGAGAAAATTGTAAATATGACCGTTTGTGTTGTAAAATATTGTCACAACGGTGATGCTAAACATAAAAGAAATGATGGTATTACATTTCACATATAAGTTTATACATTTAATTCATTATAAGTAAGTAAAACTAAAAAAATACTTTCCTAAGCCCTCATAATACAAATATTGATAGTTGTGGGGAAAAAATCACAATTTTCTTTTAAAAATATTTATTTTCTATTTGTGTTTAAAACGTTTAATCGCAACGCTCTGAGTAAAACTCAAATGTTTATATATAGATACTTACTTCTCTAAGTGTTTACATTATATTAACAATGGGTGGCTATTTAAAACTAATACGGAGTGATCAGCTAATCACGATTCGTCGACGCCATTTTAACGCAACTACCTAGTCAGGTCATAAGTATTGTCACACAGTAAAAACTTTTCTTTTAGAATGCTGGCCACAAAAAAGTTTATTGAATTCGAATTTCGAATTGTTCATGAAAATAAAACTGTATACTTTTTAGAATTTTACTCATTTTTAAATATAGACCGTGTTATAGTTATTGCGTTGCATCGTTGCGGTTACGCGCCAATTCAAATTTTTGACATACTGAAAAATTTGAATATAACCAAAAGATTCGTTTATCGTACCTTCAAACGATACAATGCAGACTCTAGTATAGATGACAGGTCAAGAAGTGGTCGCCCTCGGTCTGTTAGGACTCCAGCAGTGATAAAAGCTGTGAAGGCGCGAATTCAAAGAAATCCCAAACGTAAGCAGAAACTGTTGGCCCTTCAGATGGGGTTAAGCAGAACCACGGTGAAAAGGGTGTAAAATGAAGACTTAGGGCTTCGGGCATATCGAAGAAAAACAGGACATCGCTTGAATGCTCGTCTAATGGACCTGAGACTGAAGAGATGCCGCGCTTTGTTGAAGCGGTACGCGGGAAAAAAATATCGGGATATCCTTTTTTCGGATGAAAAAATTTTTACCGTAGAAGAGAGCTACAACAAACAAAATGATAAGGTGTACGCACACAGTAGTGAAGAAGCGAGCAACCGTATTCCGCGTGTCCAACGAGGCCATTTTCCACCTTCGCTCACGGTATGGTTGGGAGTTTCTTATTGGGGCTTAACAGAGGTACATTTTTGTGAGAAAGGTGTAAAAACGAATGCAGTTGTGTATCAAAATACAGTCCTGATGAACCTTGTGGAACCTGTTTCTCATACCATGTTCAATAATAGGCACTGGGTATTACAACAAGATTCGGCGCCAGCTCATAGAGCGAAGAGCACACAAGACTGGCTAGCGGCGCGTGAAATCGACTTCATCCGGCACGAAGACTGGCCCTCCTCCAGTCCAGATTTGAATCCGTTTGATTACAAGATATGGCAACACTTGGAGGAAAAGGCGTGCTCAAAGCCTCATCCCAATTTGGAGTCACTCAAG